ATGGTGCGATTTCAGCTCATTGCAACCTCTGCCTTCCAGGTTCAAGCAATTATTCTGCCTCAGCCTCCCAAGTAACTGGGAATACAGGTGCAAGCCACCACACCCAGCTAATTTTTTTGTATTTTTAGTAGAGACAGGATTTCACCATGTTGGCCAGGCTGGTCTCAAACTCCTGACCTTGTGATCCTCCTGCCTCGGCCTCCCAAAGTGCTGGGATTAGGGGCATGAGCCACAACACCCGGCAGCCAATGGTTTACTGTACATACAAATAGAACTGATTTTCATGTACTGACTGTATTAAAAAGAAAAATCCAAGACAAGTTAAATATAACTGCATTTAATTAAGCAGAAAAAACATTCATGTACACAGGAGACAGCCCAGACTGAACATGGTTTAGAATGCACCACCCAGCAACTTGTGCAGGCTGTACTTATAGCTACAGAAGAGGAAATGACATACAGAAATGACCTGATTGGTTGCATCTGGTGTTTGCCTTGGGTTATGTTTCGGCAGCTTTCAGCCTCTGGCTGGCTGGACATTCAGCTGCTATGATTGGCTGAGATTCACCTGCTTGCTACAAGCCCATCCATCCTCTTTAGGTTAGTATACAATTTGTTTACACATTAATTTTTTATTAATTTGAAGAATGTATCTGGGGATTCCTTCAAGCCTCCCTTCCTCATTCCTTCCTCCCTCCCTCCCTCCTCCTTCCCTCTCTTCCTTCCCTTCCTGCTCCCTCTCTCCTTCCTTCCTCCATCCATCCATCCCTGCCTCCTTGCCTTCCTCTCTCAGTTCCTAGACTCTTTCTTGACAGTCTTGCTCTGACACCCCGAGTGACAGTGGTACGATCATGGCTCGCTACAGTCTCAACCTCCCGGGCTTAAGCAATCTTCTTGCTTCAGGCTCCTGAGTAGTTGGGACTACTGGTGTGCATCACTACATCTGGCTAATTTAAAAAAATATTTTGTAGAGACAAGGTCTCACTATGTTGCCCAGTCTGGTCTCAAACTCCTGGCCTCAAGTGATCCTCCTGTCTTGGTTTCCCAAAGTGCTGGGATTACAGGCCTGAGCCACTGCGCTCAGTAGCCTTTGGATTTTCTACATTCAAATTTTAACCTTCTGAAATTAATGATAATTTTAGTTCATTTTGAAATCCTTACACTTTTTTTTTTTTTTTTTTTTTTTTGAGACTGAGTTTTACTCTTGTTGCCCAGGCTGGAGTGCAATGGCATGATCTCAGCTCACTGCGACCTCCACCTCTTAGGTTCAAGCAATTCTCCTGCCTCAGCCTCCCTAGTAGCTGGGATTACAGGCACACACCACCTCGCCCAGCTAACCATTTCTTTCTTTTTCCTTCCTTCTTACAATAGCTAGGTCCTAGAGTACAACATTGGGTGGAAATGATGGCTACAGGAATCTTTGTCTCTTTACTGGTAATAGGAGAAAGCTTTCACATTTTCACTATTCATTTTAGTATTTCCCGTAGGAGTCTCATAGCTACAGGTCGTCTCTGGCTTATGATTGTTTGACTTACAATTTTTTGACTTTACAGTGGTGCAAAAGCAATATGCATTCAGTAGGACCCATACTTCAAGTACCCATCCAACCATTCTGTTTTTCACTTTCAGTGATAGTGAAAAAAAATACAGTACATGAGATAGTCAATATTTTATTATAAAATGGGCTTTGTGTTAGATATTTTACCCAACTATAAGCTAAGGCTAAGTGTTTCAAGAAGTGTAAGATGGGCTAGGCTAAGCCATGTTTGGTAGATGTATTGAATGCATTTCAACTTATTTTTGACATTTTCAAATTACAATGGGTTTTTTGAGACATAATTTCATCTTAAGTGGAGGAGCATCTTATGCATTTAATTTTACTATAGTATACACCACTATCTGTCATTACTAAGTATATAGTTAAGTTTACTTACAGTATGTTCCAGTAACTGGTAAGATGTAGTAGATTACAATAGCATCTGGTTCGGTGTGGAGGTGTGTGCATGTAACCTGAGCTACTTGAAATGCTGAGACAGGAGAATCACTTCAGCCAGGGGAGGTCAAGGCTGCAATGAGCAGTGATTGCACCACTGCACTTCAGCCTGGGCCACAGAGCAAGACCTTATCTCAAAATAATAAGAATAGGCTGGGTGCAGTGGCTCACGCCTGTAATCCCAGCATTTCAGGAGGCTAAGGCAGGCAGATCACTTGAGGTCAGGAGTTCGAGACCAGCCTGGTTAACATGGCAAAACCCCATCTCTACTAAAAATACAAAAATTAGCCAGGTGTGGTGGCGGGTGCCTGTAATCCCAGCTACTCGGGAGTCTGAGGCAGGAGAATCGCTTGAACTCAGGAGGCGGAGGTTGCAGTGAGTTGAGAGCATCGCGCCATTGCACCCCACCTTGGGCAACAGAGTGAGATTCTGTCTCAAAATAGTAACAATAATAATAACGTCCTCCAGGGAATTGTCTTCTCATGTCCACACTGGCCCTGGGCTTGGCCAGATGTGTTTTGGCCACCTGGCCATTGGCACATGTGAGCCGAGCAAAGGAAAGTGTAAACAGAGCCCGTGTATTGGTGCCACTGGAAGGTCTCCTGCCTGGGCTGGCCTTCTGGAGGATGACAGAGCAGAGATGAGTCAGTCATCCCTGCTGAGACCCAAACACTTGAGTGAGCTCAGCTGATGCCTCATGAGACAGAGCACGCTGACCCCAGCCGAAATGCCAACCACAGGATGAGCAGTAAATAAAAGGCTACCTTTTGAATCTACTAAGTTTGGGAAAGTTTGTCATACAGCAAAAGATAACCGATACAGAGGTGGGTCGCCTCCTTAATACATTTCTCTTACTTATTTACAGGCTGGGCTTCCTCATGTATTTGTCTAGATTTTTATTTTATTTTTTATCTTTATTTTTCAGATGGCATCTCGCTCTGTCGTCCAGGCTGGAGTACAGTGACACAATCTCAGCTCATTGCAACTTCCACCTCCTGGGTTCAGGCAATTCTCCTGCCTCAGCTTCCCAAGTAGCTGGGATTACCGGCACGTGCCACCACGACCAGCTAATTTTTGTCTTTTTAGTAGAGATGGGGTTTCACTATGATGGCCAGGCTGGTCTTGAACTCCTGACCTCAGGTGATCCACCCACCTCAGCCTCCCAAAGTGCTGGGATTACAGGTGTGAGCCACCACGCCCAGCCTAAACCTCTTTTTCTTTATAAATTACCCAGTCTTGGATATGTCTTTATTAGCAGGGTGAGAATAGACTAATACCCTCTGGAAGATATTATCTTACTCCAGAAAGTATTTTAGATCTTTGCCAATCTGACCTGTGGCAAACAGCATTCTAACACAGCTTTAATTCCTACTGCTTTTGTTTTGATTGGGGCTGAACGTCTGTTCACCTGTAAGGAGTATTTGTATGTTCTTTGCTCTGAACTGTGTTTATATTCGATGCCCACTTTTTTTTAAGAGATGAGGTCTCACTCTGTCGCCCAGGCAGGAATGCAGTGGTGCAATCATAGCTCACTGCAGCCTCCAACTCCTGGGCTCAAGGGATTCACTCACCCCAGCCTCCTGAGTAGCTGGGATTACAGGTGGGTGCCACCATGTCCAGACCACTTTTCTTTGTTGTCTAGATTTCACTTGCAGAATATCTGTATATTAAAAGATTTAACCTTTGTGTGGGATACAGCCAGGAAAAACTTTTTTCCCCGTTAGTCTTTTCACTTTGACATGCATAAACTTGAAATTCTCAGGTGGTCTTATCAAGTCCCATTTTCTTTTACCTGGGCGGTAACCTAATGGGATTTTATACTTCCAGCCTTCCTGTCACCTCCTCCAAATCTGTTACTAACAGTGATTCTTCGTGATTGCGGTGACTCATGCCTATAATCGCAGCACTTTGGAAGGCCAAGGTAGGAGGATCATTTAGGACCAGGAGTCGGAGACCAGCCTGGGTAATACGGCAATATCCTGTATCTACAAAATTACAAAAAAAATTAGCTTGGTGTAGTGGCACACTCCTGTACAAGTCCCAGCTACTTGGGAGGCCGAGGCGAGAGGATCACTTGAGCACAATAGTCTGGGGTTGCAGGGAGCCATAATCATGCCACTGTCCTCCAGCCTGCCTCTGTCTTTGTCCCAACCTTTCCTCTCCTGGAATTCTCTTCCACTCTTCCGTCTGGTGCCTTCACACGCCCCTCATCCTAGAGTCCTATGTGAGCAGCGCCCCCATGTCATTCCTAGCTTTTTCCACCAGCCTTTCAGCCTTTACTATTGACCTTGGCGCATCCGTATTTGCGGATTCATCTGCGGATTCCCCTCCACCACCACTGCCCGTCACCCAGGAGGTTTCACTTGCACTTGGTTCTCAGCTGCAGCCACACCTGCCGAGCCTACGGCGGGCGCTCAAAGAATATTACTGAAGTCAGTGATTGCAGGCTTTTGTATCCTATTTAAAATCTCTTCTACTAAGAGATTTAAAACACGTGTCCCTGCTTTCTACTTTCACGTTGTATTTCTAACGTGTCAACCTGGGAAGCCCCGGGAGATGCCCCGGTTTCTGGAGAGGCTTGGATGGACCCCGGAGCCCAGGCCGCCCGGAAACTGCCGTGCCCGGCTCCTCCCCACCCTGGCACACATCCCTCCGCGGGGAAGTGGAGCCAGGCAGAAGCGAAAGAGCACTGTTCCCTACCCCGTCGCCCCGCTCGCTCGCCCGAGAGCCCCACGTGAGCCCCAGGCGCAGGCGCGCTCAGGGCCAGACGCGCGGAGACCTGGGAGCAGGCGGGGCGGGGCCAGACTGGGCGCAGGGAGACCTGGGAGCAGGCGGGGCGGGGCCAGACTGGGCGCAGGGAGACCTGGGAGCAGGCGGGGCGTGGGCGTGGCGGGCCGGGCGCGGGGGCTCCAACGGTTGATGCCTCCGCGCGGGAACACGCGCCGCAGAGGCCCCGCCCGCGCGGGTTTGAACCAGAATCCCCGCCCGTGGCCCGCGAGTGGCCAATCAGCGAGCGCGGCGCACGGTCCGCGCAGCGTCGACTCTTTGTGGGCGCGGAGTGGCAGTCGCACGCCCCGCCCGCGCTAGCGGGCGCTCCTCCCTCAACGGCGGGAAGCTGGCGGCGGCGGCGGCCGAGCGGAGGACCGGAGGACCCGGCGGGCGGCCTCGCGGGTCAGGTGAGCGGGCCCGGCGGACTGCGAGGGTGGCTGCGGCGGCGCGGGGTCCACGGCTCCTGGCTCCGGATCCGGGGCGGACGCGGCGCCCGGGACTGCCGCGGGCGCTGCGTTCCCCTTGGGGTGGCCGCTGCCAAGGGGGCCCGCGCCGCTGTCTGCGTTCCGTGCGGAGCTCGGGGCCGGGACTGCGTGACGCCTCCGGGCGGCCCCACGCGGGGAGCCGCTTCGCCAGGGCCCGGCCGGGGCTCACGGCGGGATTCCCGCGCCTCGGCTCTCGTTGGCCGCGGAGGGAACGACGGGCCAGCCCCGCTAACCGGGCCGGGGTCCGCGCCTCCGCCCGCTCGGGTGGAGCCCGGCTGCGGAGAGGGCCGAGCATGCGGGCGGAGGCGCGGACCCCGGCGAGTCGGCCAGCGCGGTCTTCCCGGGTGGGTCTAGGAGGAGGGCCCGAGACGGCCGCCGAAGCCGGAGGCCAGCTTCCCTCCACGTTTTCTTCTTCTTTTTTTTTTTTTTTGAGACGGAGTTTCGCTCTTGTTACCCAGGCTGGAGTGCAATGGCGCGATCTCGGCTCACCGCAACCTCCGCCTCCTGGGGTCAGGCAATTCTCCTGCCTCAGCCTCCTGAGTAGCTGGGATTAGAGGCACGTGCCACCATGCCCAGCTAAGTTTTTGTATTTTTAGTAGAGACGGGGTTTCACCATGTTGTCCAGGATGGTCTCTATCTCTTGACCTCGTGATCCACCCGCCTTGGCCTCCCAAAGTGCTGGGATTACAGGCTTGAGCCACCGCGCCCGGCCCCCTCCACGTTTTCAAACGCTTCTCGCCCCGCAGACGGGCCCGTCGGGACAAAGGCTCCGACAGCCTGCTGGGAGACAGGGTCTCCGCCGCCTCTGCTCTCCTGCGGCCTTCGTGTGGGACCCATATAGCCATTCTCTAAGTGAGCCTTAGAAAACCGCCGCTCGTTCACAAAACTTAACGCTTTGTAAATTTTCTACGTACGACCACTCTATGGTCAGGTGTCACCGTTTTTATGATTAGAGTGGAAATCCACAGTGCAGAGTGAAGCTACCGCCTTTATCTTGGAAAGGGGGGCTAGGAAGTTTCCTCAGCTTGCCATTGGAACATGTTTTCAGGAAAAAGAAAGGGTGTGTATCGTTCCAAGTAACTAAAGTACCTCACATTGGCCGGGCGTGGTGGCTCACACCTGTAATCCCAGCACTTTGGGAGGCCGAGGCAGGTGGGTCATGAGGTCGGGAGTTCGATACCAGCTGCCCAACATGGTGAAACCGTGTGTCTACTGAAAATACAAAAATTGGCCGGGGTGCTGGCGCATGCCTGTAATCGTAATCCGAGCTTTTCGGGAGGCTGAGGCAGGAGTATCGCTTGAACCCGATAGGTGGAGGTTGCAGTGAGCGGGAATCCCACCATTGCACTCCAGCCTGGGCTATAGACCCCATTTCAGAAAAACAAAAGTACCTGAAATTAACATCAGTAATTGTTCATGAACAGTCTCCAGCAGACTGTAGTGGAAGGAGGAGCTCCCCATTCAGTAGCTCTGAAGAGTGCAGACCTTGCTCCTCCCTGTTTTTCCGATGAAATATTTCAAAGCCTATGTGATGTGTGATAGAAGTTGAAATTGTTGGTTTGCTTAAAAACCTGAAACGTCGAAGTGGCTGCGGGTCCAGCTGTGAAGGTGACAGGTTAGATCAGAGTTGAGTCTGTCCCCAACCGTCCCAGCCCTACTGATCAGATTCTGGGAATCTGCATTTTCAGTCAGCCTGGTGGGATTGCTGAGCCCCGAAGGGGTGGCCACTGCTGCTGTAGTGAGGGGCTGGTCCCTGAGCTGTGCTGTGCTTGCCTGAGCAGCACTGTGGCGCTGCTCCTGGCCTCTAGCCGTGTGGGCTTAGGTTGCTGTACATAGTGGCATATTAGCTGTTCACCTGCCCTGTCGGACATATCCTCAGCCCATCTGGCCCTCTTTGTTTTCTCTGGTTGGTGCTTGGTTTAGAAGCCTAAGGACAGTGCTGGGAGTTGACGGAGGGGGAACCCTGACAGCCTTGGCTGTCTCGTTGACACCCTGAGGAGTTGGTGGGGTTTTAGACATTTAACTAAATGTGTAGAAAGACCTTCAGAATTGAGTGGGGCCGGGCACGATGACTCACTCCTGTAATCCCAGCACTTTGGGAGGCCGAGGCAGGAGGATTGCCTGAGATCAGGAGTTTGATGCTACTTTGGCCAACATGATGAAACTCTGTCTCTACTAAAAATACAAAAATTAGCCAGGTGTGGTGGTGGCACATGCCTGTAATCCTAGCTTCTCAGAGGCTAAGGCAAGAGAATTACTTGAACCTGGAGGTGGTGGTTGCAGTGAGCTGAGATAATGCATCACTGCACTCCAGCCTGGGGGACTGAGCAAGACTCCATCTTTAAAAGAAAAAAAGTTGAACAGGAAGCTGGATTTCACAGCCTCACTGGTGTAGGGCCTGTCATCATTCTGTGTTAGAAGGAGTTAAGCAGCCTCAGGCCAGAGTCACAGAGTCAGGGAGCTGAGCCCAGGCATCCCTCAGGGCTGGTCAGGACCATGTTCTTGCTGACATTGTCACAAACGCAGATAGAACGCGATTCAGGGTGATCCTCACGGGCCAGCTTCTCCGAGCCCAGTCTTACCCTTTTCACCCCTAAACACATTTTCTGAGTGAAAGCTCTTTGGGGTCACTTGATTGTAAAAAAAATAACTCAGCTTTTACTCCTTTTTGTATTAATAGTAATAAACCTGTCAGCATTTTAAAATATTGGGTACAACACAAAATTAGCAGCTGCTGGAGATTTGGAACATTTGACAGGAATGATTTGAAGTGACAGAACAGGGACATTCTCATGGCACCAGAATGGGGTCTGTGTGTGGAATGTGATGCAGTAGAGGGTGATGGGGATTCTCTCACCCCTTGTAGGACTTGTGTCCATCCACGCAGGTCCCTGGGTTACACGAGTCCTACAAGGGGTGAGAGAATCCCCATCATCCTGGAGGATTCCCTTTGGCCCCTTGTAGCATTTCCCACCCTGCTGGTAGTGACCCTTTTGTGCTTTCACAACTTAGACTAGCTTGGCTTGTGCTGAAGATTCAGATCAGTAGAATCCTACAATACATATTTTTGTGTGTGTCTTGCTGCTTTCATTCAGCATAATGTTTTCAAATTCATCCCTGTTGCGTAAATCATTGAGGTTTGTTGCTGAGTTGCATTCCATTGTCAGAATAGACCACATTGTATGCATTCAACTTGTTTTAAGTCTTTTTTTCTTTTTTCTTTTTCTTTTTCTTTTTCTTTCTTTCTTTTTTTTTTTTTTTTGAGACAGAGTCTCTGTGGCTCAAGCTGGAGTACAATGGCATGATTTCGGCTCACTGCAACCTCTGCCTCCCGGGTTCAAGCGATTTTCCTGCCTCAGCTTCCAGAGTAGCTGGGACTATAGGCGTTATGCTCACACATTCTGCTAATTTTTTGTATTTTAGAGGTGAGGTTTTGCCATATTGGTCAGACTAATCTCAAACTCCTGACCTCAGGTCTCAGGTGATCCTCCCACCTGGGCCTCCCAAAGTGCTGGGATTACAGGCTAGAGCCACCACACCTGGCCATTGTTTAAGCCTTTTTTTTTTTTTTTTTTTTTTTTTGAGGCAGTCTTGCTAGAGTACAGTGGCACCATCTCAGCTTACTGCAGCCTCTGCCTCTGAGGTTCAAGTGATTCTCTTACCTCAGCCTCCCAAGTAGCTGGGACTACAGGCACGTGCTACCATGCCCCGCTAATTTTTTATTTTTTTAGTAGAGATGGGATTTCCCCGTGTTGGCCAGAATGGTCTTGATCTCCTGACCTTGTTATCTGCCCATCTTGGCCTCCCATCTAAAGTGCTGGGATTACAGGCTTGAGCCCCTGCACCTGGCTTGTTTAAGTCTTAAAAGAATGCTTGTGGCCACGTGTGGTGGCTCACACCTGTAATCCCAGCACTTTGGGAGACTGAGGTGGGTGGATCACTTGAGGTCAGGAGTTTGAGACCAGCCTAGCCAACATGTTGAAACCTTGTCTTTACTAAAAATACAAAAATTAGCCAGGCTTGGTGGCACGTGCCTGTAGTCCCAGCTACTCAGGAAGCTGAGGCAGGAGAACTGTTTGAACCGGGGAGGTGGAGTTTGCAGTGAGCTGAGGTAGCACCACTGTACTCCAGCCTGGGCAAAAGAGTGAGACTCTGTCTCAAAAAAATAAAAGAATGCTTTCAGCTGACAGTGATGAAACTAGGCTAAGAGGCTCCCCTACCCAGGAGCCCCTCTGGAGGCTCCCATCTGCTGGTCCTACCGTGGAGTAGACAAAGAAAAGGTTTTGCCATTCTCTGAATTTCCTTTCAGTATTGTAGGTCTCATTGCCTGTGCATTTAGTGCACCTAAATTTTATAAAACTAAGTGACCTCTTGGGCAGTTATCCCAGTGAAGTGAAAAACCAATGTTCATTCGAAAACGTGTTCTAGAATCTGCATAGCAGCTTTGTGTGTAATAACTCCAAACTGGAAACAAGAAAGAAGTCCCCTTTACCTGGGGTATGTTGACACACACTGCTTCATCTGTGCCTCCAAATCCTACTCAGCAATAGAAAGGAATGAACTCTTGACACATAAGACAATTTGCAAGGATCTCAAAACAATTATGCTGAGGGAGAAAAGCCAACCCCAGAAGGGTGCTTGCTGTGGGATCCCATTTATGCCACATTGTCTTGCTTGACCCAGAGGTGAGGGGTGGCATGGTCAGAAAAGGACCTACACAAGGAGGCCAAGGTGTTTGGTCCTGGCAGAAGAGCAGCTGCGGAACAGGATAGCAACACAGAGAGGTGAAGCTCAGTGGAGGAGGGAGGAAGTGCTTAGCTGTGGGGTTCAGATACTCAGCAAAGCAGGAGGAGGCTTTACCAGCCAATGTGCAGAAATTAGTATATGAGAAAGTTAGTGGCGCATTCCACCTTCTTAGAACGCAGGTTGACAGTGTTTATCAGGCCCCTTAAAAATGTACGTGCGCTTCACCCTAGTAACTAAAGAATTGAGGCTAAGGAAGCCAAATGCTGGAAATGCCAAAGCACCTAAAGTTAGAAACTGGTATCGTTTGTGATTGGGAAAATTGGCAGTAGTGTAAAACCTCCCTTCTGTATGCAGAGAGGAAAGTGCTGGGAGAAATGGCTGGGAAGGCGGAACTCAGATGGTGACTGTTTTTTTCTGAGTGGATAGGATCCTGGGAGAGAATTTGTTTTGTGGTTTTTGATCCTCTTCCAGATTGTTTGCAGTGAGCTGTGGAAATAAGCAACCAGGGGAAGAACAGGCAGAGGCTGTTTATCCAGAGCTTGCCTTAGCAAGGGTGCAGCCCTCGTCCCCTGTGATTGGCAGAGACTTGCAGGTAGGGGCGGGGACATGAGAACTTTACCAGGGTAGCTCAGGATGGCTGAGGGAAACTGCTGACCTGGCGGCCTGGGGTGGCCAGTTAGAAGTTGGCCTCCTGCCTGGGTGTGGTGGCTCAGGCCTATAAGCCCCGCACCTGGGGAGGCCAAGGTGAGTGGAATCACCCAGGGTCAGGAGTTTGAGACCAGCCTGGCCAACATGGTGAAACCCTGTCTACTGAAAATACAAAAGTCAACTGGGCCTGGTGATGCATGCTTGTAATCCCAGCTACTCAGAAGGCTGAGGCAAGAGAATCCCTTGAACTTGGGAGGCAGGGGTGGCAGTGAGCTGAGATCATGCCACTTCACTCCAGCCTGGGTGACAGAGTGAGACGCCGTCTCAAAAAAAAAAAGTGGGGCTCCTGTGAGAGGGTTTAGGGGAACACGTTTGGCTTTCTCTGGTAGTCCTAAATTGGAAGCAGGGACAAACACTGAAGAGGTTGCAGTTTCTAATCATGTCCTGGCCATTTGGGGCTGCTTGCTCTGGAAATTATTGTTTAGCTTCCTGGATTGTTCCTAGAGAAAGCAGCCAGCTTCCTGCAAGTCCGACTTAGCAACCTGGCTTCCTGGCTGCTCACTGTAGGAAAACGGTTGGTTTCAGACTGATTGCTGCAGATCATGGCTGAGAGTTCTGTTTTTTGGATGTAGCTCCACCGTTGTTTCGTTGGTATATTCCCTGGCCCAGAGCAGATGTTATTAAGGTGATTTCCGGTGGTCATGTATTCCTAGTGCTGCCCTCAGGACTGCTGACAGCAGCAGGCCAAGAGCTTAATTCATCCCCTTATAAGATTCCCAGTGGGAGGCTTCTAGGATCCGTATCTGGCTTTCAGAAAGGGGCGGAGGATCTGTCTCTGGGTTTGGACTCATGACTTGGCATTTCTGAGGACGCTCAGAGGAAAGGAAAGTGGGGCCTGTAGGGTACTAGGAGCTTGGGGCAGCTGCTTGAGCTGGTTCCTAGTGTGGTTGTGAATCTTCTTGGCCTGTCCCATTGGTATTCTTGTTCCTTCTGTGAGTTGCCCTCATTTTCCTGGTCAGCCATGCTGACCTCCTGTAGACCCCACATAGGGGTTGTGCTGCTGGGTTTCCAGAGTCAGGAGAGGCAGCCAGGGGTTCTTCTGTCTATAAACTTGGGCTTCAAGCATGCTGTTCAAGAGGGTTTGGTTTGGGCCCTAAATTAATCCGTGGTTATGCAGGCTTGGGATTGAGCTATGGTTGAAAGAGAAACTAAAAACCTAAAAGGTATAGTGAGTTCCACAGAAGAACCTGTGGGACTTAATTTTTCCCCCAACGTAGGGTGTCCCTTTGTAGTTGACATAGTCTTATGTTAATTATCAGTATACTTAGCAATTTTAAGCCAGTGATTTAAACAATTGGAATGAAAACCTCTGAAAAGTTAAATTTGTGGCTGACACAAAGAGCTTGAATATTTACCACAAGTACTTGAAACATTTAAATGTATTTTGATGGTAAACACTCCTTCATTTACAATTAGTTGAGAAGCTGGTGTGCGTAGGTGTGAGAGGTCGTGCACAGCCGGAGGGGTATCTGTGGGGACACTTGCATGCTGCTCTGGGGAAATAAGCTATGGTCACATAAGTTTACTTTTCATTTTAATTTTGAAAGAATTGTAGGGCCAGGGGAGGTTGCAGAGCATTGTTCAGGAGGTCCCTCGTGCCCTTCCTCTGCTGCCCAGGGTTGGCGTCCTTGTAGGATGCACAGCCAGGCCCCAGGTCCCTGTGATCACACAGCTGCTGCAGGCGCATGTGTGTGTGTCTGGTGCTGTGCCGTCAGTGGAACCACCCCACAGCCTAGGAGCAGAAGGCCTCTCACGCCCCGAGACCTCCCTGTGTAGGTCCTTTTCTCGCCACGCCACCCCAGCTCTGGGTCAGCATGACAATGTGGCATAAATGGGATCCCACAGCAAGCACCCTTCTGAGGTTGGCTTTTCCCCCTCAGCATAATGGAAGGATCCGTCCTGTGTGTCAGGAGTTCATTCCTTTATATTGCAGAGTAGGGTTTAGAGGCATGGGTGGAGCAGAGTGTGTGTCACCGTGCCCAGGTGAAGGGGACTTTTTCCTTGTTTCCAGTTTGGAATTACTACAAATAAAGCCGCTTCGGACATTCTGGAACATGTTTTAGCATGAGCATTGGGTTTTCATTTCTCTGGGATAAATGTCCAAGAGGTCACTTAGTTTTATAAAATGTAGGCATGTTAAATGCATAGGCAGTGAGATCTATGACACTGAAAGGAAATTCAGAGAACAAGGGGAACAGTTCTGTCTATTCAAGGGTAGGACCAGCAGGTGGGAGCCTCCAGAGGGGCTCCTGGGGAGGGTTATGGTTGGTAGCTAGTTGTTCTGCAATGCAAAACCTCCCATCTTTCGTCTCCAGATCCCGAGCAGAGATGGCACACACCTCTCGTACCCCAGCTTTCCAAAAGCACCTAGTACACCCTGGTCACACCCTGGGAGCCATCAGATTGACTAAGAGAAAAAGAAGTTCCAAAGCTTGCATAGTCAAAAGATTGTAAGCCTATTTGTGCATAACAAATTATTTGAAATAAAAGCATTTTGCTACATTACAGGCATGAGAAGAGAGAAACTTAATTTTGCATGACATGCATGTCCTATCAGACTGCACACCAGTGTGGCCCTGAGCGAGCTGTCATCCTCCCAGCTCCCCACAAGATGGCACTGGCTCAGAGTGGCACCTGTCAAAAGCCAGAGCCCACCCTTCTCTCTGCTCTGCCTTTAATGCCCCAGAGATGTCCCAATTTAGAATCAGTTGAAAAAAACAGTTTGCGCAGACTTTTACTTCTAAGAGTGGGCATGGCCAGTGTCTGTCTAGTGCATCCGTGCTGTGCATCTGAGGGGAGCCGTCCCACTGAGGCGAAGCCTGAGGTGCCAGCTCGGAGCTTGCACAGGTCTGGTGTGAGGTCCTGGAATCTGCATCTTCAAACAGCAGCACTCGTGCCAAGGCATATGCTGAGAAAGGCTGCCTTGGTCAGCCGTGGACTGCCACAACACACTGGTGGTGACCCCCCCAACACACACTCCCTGCCAGTTTTGGTTCCTTTGAAGAGAAGGGAGTTGGGATGAGAGGGAAGGTGGCCTGTGAGGTCGTGGTTGTGCAGGCTTGTGTTCAGGCAGAGCCCTGGAGTGGAGAGCATTGGCCCTGAGATGTGTCAAATAGAAGAGGGCCAGGCAGAGCCTCTGCACCTTGGGAGGAATGAACTGGTGCAGGAGCGGGGCCAAGGAATGGATGTGAGCCCCAAGGCAGGCAGCATGGCAGGTGTAGGAGCAAGGGGCTGCCCAGGGCCGCATGGGCCCGGCCAGAGGACCCTGTGTCCCTTGGAGAATTGTGTGCCAAACTGCACTCGCTGCATGGGGAGAGCATACGGCCCAGCAGTCCCTCCCCTGTGGGCTCCAGCACAGCTGCCTGCGACCTGGAGAGGCTTTTAGTGAAAGCATTGAGCAGGGAGGACACTGTCCCTTCTGAGATGCAGACATGACTTTGTCCCAGACAGGATCCTGAGGGAAGTCAGAATGGTAGGTGTGTGCGCCTGGCCCGGCCCCAGCCCTGCGGCCCTCTGCAGGCTGGCACCGTTCACATTGATCTCAACGTTACCAAAGGGTCTCTTCTTTTTGTAGGCACCAGTATTAGATTTTTTGATACAGACTTTTAGCCAAGCTCTTGAACGCTTATATTTCTCTTACGTATTTCTCCTATTTTTAATTCATTTATCTTTTCTGCTGGAGAACACTGTTATGGTACAGTTGAAAGGTTTGTCGTTTCCAACATGGCTGTGGCTGGATTAGGCAGGATGGCATATATCTGGGGGGGTCTCCCACTGGACTCCACCTCTCAGCTCTGACTTCCCTACCAGTTACACAGTTGCTGCTCCTCGAGGACAGGGCAGTCAGATGGGACCCAAGGGGCCTGACCTGCTAGCGAGTCTGCCGTGTGCTAAGTGGTGTCTTCCTTGGTTTCCGCAGGACGCAATGTTTACGCGAGGGCTGAAGAGGAAGTGTGTTGGCCACGAGGAAGACATGGAGGGATCCCTGGCCGGCTTGAAGACCGTGTCCTCCTACAGCCTGCAGCGGCAGTCGCTCCTGGACATGTCCCTGGTGAAGCTGCAGCTCTGCCACATGCTTGTGGAGCCCAACCTGTGCCGCTCAGTCCTCATCGCCAACACAGTCCGGCAGATCCAGGAGGAGATGACGCAGGATGGGACGTGGCGTGCAGTGACACCCCAGGCGGCAGGGCGGGCACCCCTCGACCGCTTGGTCTCCACGGAGATCCTGTGCCGCTCAGCATGGGAGCAGGAGGGGGCACGTCCTGTCCCTGGCTTGGGAGACGGCCACGTACAGGGCCCGGTTTCTGACCTTTGTCCAGTCACCTCAGCACAGGCGCCAAGGCACCCACAGAGCGGCATCTGGGAGTTGGATGGCCCTCGAGAAAACAGAGGCGGCTTTCACAAGTCACTCGATCAGATATTTGAAACGCTGGAGACTAAAAACCCCGGCTGCATGGAAGAGCTGTTCTCAGACGTGGACAGCCCTTACTACGACCTGGACACAGTACTGACAGGCATGATGGGGAGCGCCAGGCCAGGCCCCTGTGAAGGGCTCGAAGGCTTGGCTCCAGCCACCCCAGGCCCCAGCTCCAGCTGCAAGTCCGACCTGGGCGAGCTGGACCATGTGGTGGAGATCCTGGTGGAGACCTGAGCCAGAGCCCTGAGCGCTCGGGGCCGTGTCTTGACACGTGGACACGTGAGCACTGGCTCCTGCGGAGGGTGCGCCTGCCACCAGCGGCCCAGCCTTGCTGCCTGTCTGCTGTTCTGAGAAATCCCAGGACAGCGTATCAGCAGCAGGGTCTGCAGCCCCAGGCCCGTCCCACTCGCTCTTCCCCCTGTGGAGGGCCAGGCAGAGGCTGTTCTGGAAGGCTTGTCGCCTCTGGGCCAGTCCTGACGTCCCCATAGCCCTGGTCCCTTGTTCCTCTTTGTGTCCCCCACTGTAGAGGACGGTGAGCCGAAGCTGCGTCACCCTCCTTTAATTTAGATGGGTGAATTTTTTACAATTCAGTTTGATATGTTATTTTGTCTTAAGATATATTTTTAAACTTTTTATACTTTATCTGTTTAGATTTTTTCAGCTATTTTCTTAAAAGTATATTTTTTCTATAAACATCCTTTGCTGCTACATTAGAACTTTTATAGCCTAAACAATTGCAGTTGGTGTTTCATTGTTTTAAGGTTTAAATAAGGGATTTTTTTTTTGCAGTGAGCATCACTACAGTCCGAGTCAGCAGTGTGAATGTATCATGTTTTACTTGAAATGTGTGTGCGTGATACTTCTCCATTCTGTTCTGTGCCAGTGAGACCTGGGTGAAGATCAGGAACCGCACACAGCTCCTACACTTTGTTGTCACTAGAAAATCTGGGAGCCACATGTTCCTAGACGTAAGTGTAAATTATGGAGGATTTTATTTATGTCTATTTATATGTAAATGCCATTGAAAGCAAAGGTCAGATACTTGTTTGCAGATCTAGGGCACCAGTTGGTCTTCAGGGACCTCAGAGCTCCCTCATTGGTGCCTTCTGACAGATGGTGTTCCTGGAGGCTCCCATCAGGAGCAGCCCAGGCACCTGCCCTGGGGAAGGAAATAGTGTTGCTGCTGAATTAGGAGTGCCTGTGCTGCTCTCTGAGATTGGTGCTGGAGCAAAAGGTTAAGGTTAGATTGAAGTCTAGAATGAAAGTAATCTGAATCCGTGTCATTCATGGCCCCTCGATCTGGAGGGTCACGGCTCCTGCCGCAGGGAGTGAGCTGCTGGTGCCTGCAACCTTGCGCTCTTGCCCCGCCTCACCCCACGTGTTTCCTGTTTCTCATGCTTTTTCTAACTTTCTTGCCCTTTAGCCAATAAGGATTGTTTTCTTTTGTGCATATAGCCATTCTTAAATAGCAGTGATGTACACTTCACTTTATTAAAAAATTATCCAGCAAACAAAACGGGAATGTGGTGTTAGTTATGACCATGGCATAACCCTCCAGGGACCTTGCTACAGGATCAGCTCAGCTGTATTATCTAATGGTGCTTTGTAAAGTGGAAAAGCAATTTCACTTGGCTGCATTAAATGGATGCTGGGTTTTATTTCCCCCACACAGGGTTGTGGAACAAATCCCTTTTACCTTGTTCAGCACCTGGCTGGGGGTGTCCACGTCCTCTGACAGCCCCCTGATGTCGAAAGTTAATCCTCCTGGTCCCTAGTTTTAAGCGTATGTTTTTTATAGCAATAAACCTAAAGCACTCTTATTTTTGCAAAGCATTTTTATCTTTTAGAAACGTGTTCAGCATTAGTTGTGTCTGTTTGGGCAGCCTTCAAAGTTAAACTGCTCAGAGAACGTGACTTGTGAGAACTCTGGGGTGCTTGGTCAGAAAAATAGACTGGATCTGTGGAAGGACCACGGAGACAGGCGGGAAGATCAGAGACGGGCTGCCACGACAGTGCAGCCTCTGTGAGCACCAGTCAGCCTCGCTCCCAGGACTCGCACCGTGGTCACCTGTGACACTGTCCAGCAAAGTCTGCTTGTTTCCGACGTGGTGCGCAGTGGCTGAGTAATCATTTGTTTTTCCTACCATTCCTCTACAGGTTCAATCCATGTGTATGTGGTTTTTTTGTTTTGTTTTGTTTTTTGTTTGTTTTGACACAGTCTCACTCTGTCCAACACGCTGGAGTGCAGTGGTACAATCTTGGCTCACCACCATCTTTGCCTCCCAGGTTTAAGTGATTCTCCTGTCTCAGCCTCCCAAGTATAGGCATGCAGCACCACCCAGCTAATTTCTGTGTTTTTAGTACAGACGGGGTTTCTGCATGTTGGTGAGACTAGTCTTGAACTCCCAACCTCAGGTGATCCACCCATTTTGGCCTCCCAAAGTCCTGGGATTACAGGCGTGAGCCACTGCACCCTGCTGTGTATGTGGTATTTTAAAATATGTAGGTACAAATTCACTTTAATTGGAAACAAATTTTCCAAGTGTTTAATAAGTTGTATACAAAATGTTTACTCAGAAGCAGAAATACAAATTCCAGTCACCTAAAATTTCGGTACTGTTCCCTGGGCCTGCTTCTGGCCAAACCCTGAGGGCAGCGGGCATTTTAGTTGATAGTTTCATGGGGCTGTTCCCCAATGCGGGGTGGGTTCCCCTCATGTGCAGCGTGCTTTGCACACAGCTTCAGAGCCCCTTCCACCTTGGAAGTGCCTTGTTTCCAATGTTAAAAGGTAATGCATGTTCATTTGAAGATGCTGAACAGTGTGAAGATGGCAGTCTCCTCCCAGGGAACTGATCTTTCGAGGATGACAGCGCGCCTTGGAGAACGCTGTCTGCTCTGCCCACAGATGCCTGAGCAGGATTTCCTCATGGTGGGGACGTCTCCACAGGGCTGAGCACAGTCGTCATGGCCTGGATCCCTGCTGGGCCGCAGCTGGCCAGGCACCTTCTCCCAGGTTGTTCATTCTTTAGTGAAGTGGGCAGGGCAGTGACAGAAGCAGAACTCAGCAGCAAACTGCGGAACAAATGTCGACATGGCGCTGGCCCTGTGAAGTCTCCGCATAGCCAGATGAGCGGGCGAGCGGAGCGCATGTGGAGAAGGGCTGGGGTGGGTGGATGTCTGAGCTGCAACACTCGTGTAGCACTGGTGTCTACCTAAAGGTGGTGGTGGGATCACGTCCCTCTTCATGAACTCTCACAATTGGTTTCTGGGTTGCTAGAAGTTTCCATCTGCAACCAGCGAGCCACATCCTTAACTGTGATTTTACTGTGACTGAGCCACGCTTTCTTGTGGCAGTGCTGTGTGCTGGGTCACTGCATTTACTCAGGAAGGCCCCCGTTCCGTCTCAGGCCCCGTGTGGAGGTGGCTGTGTCCTCAGTGCCAGCTCAGGGCTTGTAGTGGAGGCAAGGAGGGAGGGAGTTGTGGTGTGTGGATGCCTGAGGGTTCAAGGGTAACATCCCTTCCTCAGTGATGAGCCTTTGCAGTATTTTCAGGACCGGCCAGCGCCTATCTGGGAAGACGTAACTGCCAAGTACAGTCTTTGGTTGAGATGTCACCAGACGGCTCACTGCAGCTGGGGACAGTTTAAGCCCTTGGGGCTGCTGCCCTGTGCAGGCACACCCTGCGTCAGCCCATCCGTCACTCTGCCTGGCTCCTGGGAGATAAGCCCCTGCTTCTCAGATCCGCCCCCTTGCCTCCTGCACTGGGCCCGAATGAGCCTCTGCACTGCGCAGAGGAGGCCGGCAGCGGCTGGCGGGCCTTGCAGAGTAGGCTGGGAGCAGCTCCACAGACTGTCCCTGAAGCTCTCAGAACCAGCTGAATGAACTGGAGGTGCAGGTGAAGGCCTGCTTCTTGGGTAACTGTTTGGTTTAATGCTAGAGCAAGAGGTTTGAGAAACCTACAGAGTGGGAATGGCCCTAAAAATGATGCGCTCTGAGGACCCTGTTGGCCGTGGCTACTGTGCTGTGGTTCTCATCGGCCTGCAGACACCAGGCTCGGGCTCTCCCGGCCACCTCTGGGGCCTTCAGGGACCTTTCAGCACCCTCATCTTTTTGTGAAAAGGCCCCAAATATATAAACTGTACCTCAATCCTGGGTTGGCCTGAGGCCTCATGGCCTTGTTGACCCCACATCCTGCAGCCCATCAGACTGGGGTAGTTAGATGGATGTTTGAAGGTTAGCAAGTTGCATGGGGTCGGGGGGCGGGTGGGGGTTCACAGGCTCTGTTGGGTAGACGCCCAGAGTGGAATTGAAAACTGCCACAGTAGGATTCAAAACAAAGCAACCTGGACGGGACTGTTGCAACCATGCAGCCTCTGCCTGATGAGCACTCCTCTGTGCCGCATGCATGCATCTCCATCTCAGGCTGTGGAGAAATCCAGCATGCCCAGTAAACTGGCCACCTGGCTGCCTGGTCTGCCAAGGCATCCCCTTACCTGAGCTGACACAGCAGCACAGTCAGGCCTGTGGGCTGCATTTCGTTGACAGACAGGAATTTCATTAGAGGTGGGTTCATTTCTCACTGAGGTCAACAAAGGGGCGTTCCAGGACCCTACAAAGAGCTGAGCAGGCCTGGGAACAGAGGGCACTGTGGTGCGGGCCCCAAGAGGGGCTGCCCCTCCACTGATGAAGTTGGGCAGCCTGCAGGGCAAGGGCCAGGTGGGATGTTTGCTGCCCTCAAGCTGGAGGTCTGGTCCCAGGACACTCTCCCATGGGTTCTGCAATCTTTACCCTGTTCTTCCAGCCTAGTCTGGTGGCCTGGCCTGTGGCAGCTGCACTGGGCCCAGGCACCCAGTAGGACCAGCCACCCACTGAGGGGCAGGAGAACAAGGAGGGGTGCTGCCCAGCTCCAAGAGCTCAGTTGAGGTGGTGCCTCTGCCTCCTGTCCCTGGCCAGCAGCTGAGCCTGTTTCAGGGACTGGCTATCCCAGTCGGCCAAGCCCTGTCCCACGGTGAGACACAGGAGGGAAGATACTCCCTCCACCCTGGCTGCCGGCTGTGGGGACACCTGAGCACAGCTGGAGTGGGTGGTGGGGCGAGGGCCAGGAAAGTGATCAGATCCCAGCCCATCTGAGGATCCTGATTTGTGATCCAGTCCCTGTGGCCGTGGGGCCCCCACTCCTGCAGAGCTGTGCTGCTCAGCTGTGGTCACACTGCATGTGGCTGCAAGGGGCCTAGGCTACATGTTTTCTTCCTTACCCATGGGCCTGGCCAGCATGATGCTGAGGGGCACCGGGGACTGGGAGGGTCCCCAGGAGGCCACAACCCCTGCCACCACCCCCAAACACTTGGCCCTTGGCTATGGCCTCATGGTTCCCTGTGCTACGCCTTCTGGATGCAAGCTGAGGGCCAGGCACTGCTCCCAACCGGAGATGGAGGTGCTGGCCCAAGCCAGGCAGTTCAGACACCTGGAGCCCAGAGCCGGGAAGCAGGACACGGGGCCTGGGCTGACCAGATATTACCATTGTTCATCCTTTTTTTGTGTTTCTCTTTGTTGTTACTCTTTGAGACATAGTCTATCACCCAGGATGGAGTGCAGTGGCGCGATCTTGGCTCACTGTAACTTTTGCTTCCCGGGTTCAAGTAATTCTGTCTCAACCTCCCGAGTACCTTGGGTTACAGGTGCAAACCACCACGCCCGCCTAATTTTTGTATTTTTAGTAGAGACGGGATTTCACCATGTGGGCTAGGCTGGTGAAACCCCTGACCTCAAGTGATCTGCCTGCCTAGGCCTCCCAAAGTGCTGGAATTACAGGTGTGAGCCACCACACCCAGCCTTTTTTTGGTGTGTGTTTCTGAAAGAATATTAAAGCAAATCCCAGGTGCTGAGACATTTTGACCGTAAAAACAGGTTAAAGTTTTTTGTTTGAAAAAGTCAAGGCACTCAGGCTGGAGTGCAGTGGTGTGATCTCAGCTCACTGCAACCTCTGCCTCCTGGGTACAAGTGATTCTCCTGGCTCAGCCTCCTGAGTAGCTGGGAGTACAGGTGTGTGCCACCACACTGGGCTAATTATTTTTAGTAGAGATGGGTTTTGCCATGTTGGCCAGGCTGGTCTCGAACTCCTGACCTTTTGATTCACCTGCCTCAGCCTCCCAAAGTGCTAGGACTACAGGCATGAGCCGCCGTGCCCGGCCAGGTTAAACTTTTATTAAAAATCTTTTTTTTTTTTTTTTTTTTTTTTTTTTTTTTTTTTTTGAGACAGTTTTACTCCTGTTGCCCAGGCTGGAGTGCACTGGAACAGTCTCAGCTCACCGCAACCTCTGCCTCCTGGGTTCAAGCGATTCTCCTGCATCAGCCTCCCAAGAAGCTGGGATTACAAGCACCCACCACCACGCCCAGCTAATTTTTGTATTTTTATTAGAGACAGGGTTTCACCATGTTGGCCAGGCTAGTCTTAAACTCCTGACCTCAGGTGATCTGCCTGCCTTGGCCTCCCAAAAGTGCTGGGACTACAGGCATT